TAGAGTGGGTCATTGCAGCTCCATGTGGCAAGTTTAGTCTTGATGAGTCATTGGCGAGGGTCTCAGTGGTCTCAGGAAGTGAGCAAAGGTACTGCAAGTCCCATCATCCATCTCCAAATTTTTCCAAACAACACCAGGACGTAAAGTGGGTCATGAGAGGTCTATGTGCCAAGTTTGGTCTTGATCCGTCATTGGATGAGGTTTGCAGAGGTCTCAGAATGTGAGTGAAGGTACTGGAAGTTCCATCATCCATGGTCCACCCTTCTCCAAAACTGCAGCAGGATGTAGAGTGGGTCATGGGGGCTCTGTGTGCCAACGTTGGTCTTGATTGGTCATTAGATGAGTTTTGCAGCAGTCTTGGGTAGTGGAGGTACTTGAAGTCCCATCATCCATTGTCTGTCGTCCTCCAAAGTGCTCCAGGATGTAGAGTGGGTCATTGAAGCTCCATGTGCCAAGTTTAGTCTTGATGAGTCATTGGCGAGGGTCTCAGTGGTCTCAGGAAGTGATTGAAGTGACTGCAAGTCCCATCATCCATTGTCAAATTCTTCCAAACCGCACCAGGATGTAGAGTGAGTTATGCAGGCTCTCTGTGTAAATTGTGGCCTGATCCATCATCGTTGGCAGTTGTAATGGTCTTAGGAAGGGAGTGCAGGTATTGCAAGTCCCATCGTCCCTGGTGCATCCTCCTTCAAACTGCACCTGGATGTAGAGTGCGTCATGGAGACATGCCAAGTTTGGTATTTATTGGTAATTGGATGAGGGTTGCAGTGGTCTGAAGAACTGAGCAATGGTACTGCAAGTCCCATAATCCACGGTCCATCCCCGGCCAAACCACACCAGGACGTACAGTGGGTCATGAGAGGTCTATGTGCGAAGTTTGGTCCTGATCAGTCATTGGATGAGGTTAACAGCGGTCTCAGAATGTGAGTGGTGGTACTGCAAGTCCCATCATCCATGGTTCATCCTCCTCCAAACTGCAGTAGAATGTCGAGTTGGTCATGGGGGCTTTGTGTGGCAAGTTTCGTCTGTATTGGGAGTGTACTGACACAGCCCCCGACCTTTCCTTTTCTCTTTGTCATCTCGGAATGTTGGAAATGAGGCTGGCCAATCAGAGACCATATGCAAATTTCCTTCTGTCATGCCCCGTTTCTGCCATGAACCCTCTTCTCCACCAGGGGCTCCTATTGAAGCTGGCCAATCAGAGACCATATGCAAATAGCACCACAGCGGCAGCCAATCAGAACGCTGGCACATACACTTCCGCCCTCCCTCCGTCCTATACAAACAAACACTCTTCTTTATTATATACTAGCTTGGGGACCCGGCGTTGCCCGGGTTATTAGAGAAAGTGGGTAATGGTGGTTCTGTATGGCAAGTTTGGTCTTTATTGGTCTTTTCAGGAAGTGAGTGAAGGTACTTGAAGTCCCATCATCCATGGCCCATCCTCCTACAAACAGCAGCAGGATATAGAGTGGGTCATGGGGGCTCTGTGTGCCAAGTTTGGTCTTTATCAGTCATTAGATGAGGGTGGCAGTGGTGTCAGTAAGTGAGTGAAGGTACTGCAAGTCCCATCATCCAAAGTCCATACCCTTTCAAACTGCAGCAGGATGTAGAGTGGATCATGGGGGCTCTGTGTGCCAAGTGTGGTCTTGATTGGTCATTAGAAGAGGGTTGCAGCAATGTTTTGAAGGGAGTGGAGGTACTTGAAGTCCCATCATCCATGGTCTGTCCTCCTCCAAACTGCAGCAGGATGTAGAGTGGGTCATTGGAGCTCCATGTGCCAAGTTTAGTCTTGATTAGTCATTGGCGAGGGTCTCAGTGGTCTCAGGAAGTGAGCAAAGGTACTGCAAGTCCCATCATCCATCTCCAAATTTTTCCAAACAACACCAGGACGTAAAGTGGGTCATGAGAGGTCTATGTGCCAAGTTTGGTCTTGATCCATCATTGGATGAGGTTTGCAGAGGTCTCAGAATGTGAGTGAAGGTACTGGAAGTTCCATCATCCATGGTCCACCCTTCTCCAAAACTGCAGCAGGATGTAGAGTGGGTCATGGGGGCTCTGTGTGCCAACTTTGGTCTTGATGGTCATTAGATGAGTTTTGCAGCAGTCTTGGGTAGTGGAGGTACTTGAAGTCCCATCATCCATGGTCTGTCGTCCTCCAAACTGCTCCAGGATGTAGAGTGGGTCATTGAAGCTCCATGTGCCAAGTTTAGTCTTGATGAGTCATTGGCGAGGGTCTCAGTGGTCTCAGGAAGTGAGTGAAGTGACTGCAAGTCCCATCATCCATTGTCAAATTCTTCCAAACCGCACCAGGATGTAGAGTGGGTCATGCGGGCTCTCTGTGTTAATTGTGGTCCTGATCCATGGCAGTTGGCAGTTGTAATGGTCTTAGGAAGGGAGTGCAGGTATTGCAAGTCCCATCGTCCATGGTGCATCCTCCTTCAAACTGCACCTGGATGTAGAGTGCGTCATGGAGACTCAGTGTGCCAAGTTTGGTATTTATTGGTAATTGGATGAGGGTTGCAGTGGTCTGAAGCAATGGTACTGCAAGTCCCATAATCCACGGTCCATCCCCGGCCAAACCACACCAGGACGTAAAGTGGGTCATGAGAGGTCTATGTGTGAAGTTTGGTCCTGATCAGTCATTGGATAAGGTTAACAGCGGTCTCAGAATGTGAGTAGTGGTACTGCAAGTCCCATCATCCATGGTTCATAGTCCTCCAAACTGCAGTAGGATGTAGAGTGGGTGATAGGGGCTCTGTGTGCCTATTTCGGTCTGTATTGGGAGTGTTCTGACCCAGGCCCCGGCCTTTCCTTTCCTCTCTTTCTCATCTCGGAATCTTGGATTTGAGGCTGGCCAATCAGAGACCATATGCAAATTTCCTTCTGTCATGCCCCGTTTCTGCCATGAACCCTCTTCTCCACCAGGGGCTCCTATTGAAGCTGGCCAATCAGAGACGATATGCAAATAGCACCACAGCGGCAGCCAATCAGAACGCTGCCACATACACCGCCCTTCCTCTGTCCGATACAAACACTCTTCTTTATTATATACTAGCTTGGGGACCCGGCGTTGCCCGGGTTATTAGAGAAAGTGGGTAATGGCGGTTCTGTATGGCAAGTTTGGTCTTTATTGGTCTTTGGATAACGGCTGCATTATTTTCAGGAAGTGAGTGAAGGTACTTGAAGTCCCATCATCCATGGCCCATCCTCCTACAAACAGCAGCAGGATATGGAGTGGGTCATGGGGGCTCTGTGTGCCAAGTTTGGTCTTTATCATTAGATGAGGGTGGCAGTGGTGTCAGTAAGTGAGTGAAGGTACTGCAAGTCCCATCATCCAAAGTCCATCCCCTTTCAAACTGCAGCAGGATGTAGAGTGGATCATGGGGGCTCTGTGTGCCAAGTGTGGTCTTGATTGGTCATTAGAAGAGGGTTGCAGCAATCTTTGAAAGGGAGTGGAGGTACTTGAAGTCCCATCATCCATGGTCTGTCCTCCTCCAAACTGCACCAGGATGTAGAGGGGGTCATTGGAGCTCCATGTGCCAAGTTTAGTCTAGATTAGTCATTGGCGAGGGTCTCAGTGGTCTCAGGAAGTGAGCAAAGGTACTGCAAGTCCCATCATCCATCTCCAATTTTTTTCCAAACAACACCAGGACGTAACGTGGGTCATGAGAGGTCTATGTGCCAAGTTTGGTCTTGATCCATCATTGGATGAAGTTTGCAGAGGTCTCAGAAAGTGAGTGAAGGTACTGGAAGTTCCATCATCCATGGTCCACCCTTCTCCAAAACTGCAGCAGGATGTAGAGTGGGTCATGGGGGCTCTGTGTGCCAACTTTTGTCTTGATTGGTCATTAGATGAGTTTTGCAGCAGTCTTGGGGAGTGGAGGTACTTGAAGTCCCATCATCCATGGTCTGTCCTCCTCCAAACTGCACCAGGATGTTGAGTGGGTCATTGAAGCTCCATGTGCCAAGTTTAGTCTTGATTAGTCATTGGCGTGGGTCTCAGTGGTCTCAGGAAGTGAGTGAAGTGACTGCAAGTCCCATCATCCATTGTCAAATTCTTCCAAACCGCACCAGGATGTAGAGTGGTTATGCGGGCTCTCTGTGTAAATTGTGATCCTGATCCATCATTGTTGGCAGTTATAATGGTTTTAGGAAGGTAGTGCAGGTATTGCAAGTCCCATCGTCCATGGTGCATCCTCCTTCAAACTGCACCTGGATGTAGAGTGCGTCATGGAGACTCAGTGTGCCAAGTTTGGTATTTTTTGGTAATTGGATGAGGGTTGCAGTGGTCTGAAGAATGAGCAATGGTACTGCAAGTCCCATAATCCACGGTCCATCCCCGGCCAAACCACACCAGGACGTAAAGTGGGTCATGAGAGGTCTCTGTGCGAAGTTTGGTCCTGATCAGTCATTGGATAAGGTTGAGAGCGGTCTCAGAATGTGAGTGGTGGTACTGCAAGTCCCATCATCCATGGTTCATAGTCCTCCAAACTGCAGTAGGATGTAGAGTGGGTGATGGGGGCTCTGTGTGCCTATTTCGATCTGTATAGGGAGTGTTCTGACCCAGCCCCGGCCTTTCCTTTCCTCTCTTTCTCATCTCGGAATGTTGGATTTGAGGCTGGCCAATCAGAGACCATATGCAAATTTCCTTCTGTCATGCCCCGTTTCTGCCATGAACCCTCTTCTCCACCAGGGGCTCCTATTGAAGCTGGCCAATCAGAGACCATATGCAAATAGCACCACAGCGGCAGCCAATCAGAACGCTGCCACATACACCGCCCTCCACAATTCCTCTGTCCGATACAAACACTCTTCTTTATTATATATATAGATATAGATATAGATATAGATTTATTTACATCATTTTTATCCCACCCATTTCAGCCTGAAGGCGACTCAGGGCGGCGTAAAGCTGAAACAATCTTTCAAGGTACCCATAACCTAAGATACCAATCTTTAATTTTAAGACGTCAAGAAGGAAAATAAACCACTGAGCATAGTATGAAAATATTTGCTACTTTATTTTGTAGACATATTTTAAATAACAGAGAACAGATTTATTACTCAGATGGGATGGTTGAATCTCCATAAAAAACACACTAATGACATTTTGTGCTCTATGGTTGTTGAAATTTTATGCTCTATTTGTTATAATTAGAACCCTATTTTAATCAGCAAAGCATCATTGTTAGCGTCTACTAGATTCCTACCATATTGTGACGTACAGGTTTGTGAATAGCTTCTTCCCCTTGGCACTAGTTGCAATTCTGGGATTAAAGGGCTTGCCCATCTATTCTATGAAAACAGCATCTTTAAATTTGCTTGCATTATAGCTGTCTACCTATCTTCTATTTCGCTGTAAACCAGAATACTTTTTTTTCTGAACACATAATACTGGAGATTTATTACGAGGATAAACATACATGTGGGTGAACAAAATACTAAACTAGAAAGCCAATAATATGGGTGATAACTGATTTCTTTGAAACTATCTAATTTCCATTTCTAATGTTCCTGACCCATATTAAGATCATTTATTAAACTTTATATTTGAAACATGTATGTTTGTTCAATGTTTCATGTTCCTCCTTTAAAAGGTTTATGTGTGCTTCTGTTAACTTGAAAATCTATTTAGGCCATGAAACTGGAGTCATCAATCGAGTTTTTCATTAAGGAACTGAAGGAGAGGGCAGACACCCCTGGCACATGACCACTGCATATTTGCAACATCCGGAAAAGCCTTTGTGCTGTGGCAATTCTGATCTTCTCACACTGGGAAAATAAAAAAAGAAACACAAACATTCCAACAGTCTGAAGGAAGATACACAGAAATATTGCCTTACATAAAAAGAAAAGCAGCCAGTATCAATTCTGCTTGCTTTACAGAACTGGAGGAGACCAAGCAGGCTTTTAGATAAAGCTTCAAAGACAGGGTCACTCCACGTCAGCCCTAGCTTATTACAGTCCAATCTCACCATCTAACAAAAGCAGAGGGCAGATACTACTTCAATATACCTGAAAGGTAATATTGCTGGAATATCCCATGAAAGCAAGTAGTTATTGCTTCTCCTCGCTTCCAAAACTAGGAGCAAAGATTGTTCAATTACTGCTGCCAAGCTATCTACAGCAAACCAGGAAACTCTTTCTGAAAGCAAGCATTGCAGGAGGCATCCATCTGCAAGCTGTGCAGGGCAAAACATGGTCTTAACAAATCTAATTTTAAGTTTAAAAAATACAGGTATGGCTGATCAAAAACTGTGGTTTCTTGGTGAAAGGTGTAACAAACACAGAGGCTTTGCCACCTTTTAAAAATCATCCTTGCTCACGAGTCTGCAAACTATAGCCACATGCTACCCCAAAAATATTCAAATTATCTTATACCTTTTGCAAAGGTAGTTGATTGTTTCTCTGACAGACAACTGGCCAGGGAGAGCAAGGAAATAAAGTGTCTTTAATCACTGAAAGCATATAACTGATAAGTTAGCCCCAAGGGGGAAAGCATCTCAGACCTTTTTTAATTCATCCAAACTGATACTTCCATTTGCTTATTAAAAAGTTGTACCAGAGGGCATAACAGTTGAGAACAGAAACAAGATGCATGCTAGTAAAGATAAGATACAATATGATTCACTGAAGCTGTTGGTATTTTTAAAGTTTTACTAACTCATGCTACATATAGTTTTAAAAAAACATTTTAAAGGATCCTTACTTCCAGCTCACAAAACAGAACAGGACTACAGTAGCGATCTGCCAGCTTCAAGACAGCATTTGTATCCACACTGATTTGGTTCATTCTACCAACTACAAAAAGAGGAACAAAAAAAGAAAACCTGTTCCGATTTGCAACTTATTTTTTCCTAATACGATAACAATGTTCTTTTGGATTGCATCTTGAGTCATCTTAATTTTTTATTTGCTGACCCTTCCAATACTTTTAATTTTATGTAAGGAAAGCACAATAATTTCCCAAGACCTCTGCTGACTATTGTTTAAGTGAAAACAAGACCAAACAGTGTACTCTTCTGTGTGATTGATAGTACTCCAAAACAAAGCCTGGTCACAAGGCAATCCCCAAATAGAGCAGGAGTGCAGTCATAAATTGGAAGAGTGGGAAGGAAGAAGCCATTCCAAAAGCACCATTCAAGTGAAGGTGAAATACTTGCTGTAGAGCAGAATTATTGACTTTCCTTTTAAAGGCACTGACCATTGAAAAACACCTAAAGAATAATGTTTGAAACAGGAAAGATGTCTCATACATACCACCTGTGGCCAGAAAGCACACTTTTCCAAGGAAAAAATTGGCATCAATATGTATCAGCGATGCTTCAATTTCTTTAAAACTGATGAAAGAGGATATAAAATAATAAAATTAGTTATAAAGGAGAATTTGGAGTGAACTCCTTGGAGAGATCTAGTACTTTCACTATAGAAGGCTATCAAATATCATACAGAGTGAGAGAGAGAAAGGCAAGAGAATCTGCTCAATAGATTTACATACAAATTTATTGTGGAGTTAGGAATTATGAATTCAATAAGAGCATAATACCTAAGCCAACCCTATTTTTATTAGAAAATCATAACGTCGGTGACTTTGGGCCCTTCCACACAGCCATATAACCCAGAATATCAAAACAGAAAATCCCACAATATCTCCTTTGAACTGGGTTATCTGAGTCCACATTGCCATATATTCCATTTCAAAGCTGAAAATGTAGGATTTTATTCAGCTGTGTGGAAGGTGCCTAAGCTGATCAAGATCATAAAACTGGAAGAGACCACAAGGGCTATTCAATCCAACATCCCATGCCATTTTGTGACCAACTAAGGGTGTGCCTACAATCAAAGTACCTAACTATTTTTTCAGATGCATCAAAAGATATCACTTGCTAAGGTACTGCCTGATTGGAGATGCTTTGCTTGCGCTATTCTTATTCAGATACAGTACTAGATTCCATTGATAATAGTGGGTGTAATATGAAGGATACCTTTCCACATGCTGCTTTGGTATGTTTGGTATGAAAACTATTTCAACTTCTAGTTAGGCTAATTAATAACATAGAATGCAAAAATAATGTAAGATCGCATATTATTGGGTTCTGAAATAATTGAAAATCAAAATAAAACAGCGGTATCATATGACCAGCATTTTATTAGTAAAATTGTATAAGAAATGTCCACACTGCTGTTCTCTTCTCTAGAGGATTTTCTCAGAATGCATTACGGAACATATTAAGTTGCCTGACATATTCTATGGGATTCACAGCTATGTAGGCACCTGAGCCTGGATATTCTTTGCCAAATACTCCAGTTACAATGGCCTTAACTTTACAAACAAAAACAAATATATATACCTCCCTTCCTTAAAGGTGGTGGTTGTTATTTTTTGCACATACCTGTATTTGTTCTGAATGTCAATGATAAAGACAATCAGGTCAATTCGGGGTCGAATGTGATCTCTCTCCGCAGGTAAAGGGAGAAAGGTTGTCAAGTGACTGAAAGAAAAAAAGGTGATATGTTTCATCAATGTTGAGGTCAGAAGCCTTCTCTCATGTTAGGGAACTGCACTTTACCACAGAACACATCCATTTCATAGAATAAGACATTCATTACTTTAGAATGGCCATGACTTTCAGAAACACACAACGGGTGTGAAAGTTAAAGCTGTTACCTTTCAAACAACTTAAACAAAAGAAGTTTATCCATTTCTGCCACTTACATGTTTACTTTTAAATCTTGTTTTTCCTTAAGAATTGTCTCTGCTAACTGCTGCTGGAAAACAGTATTTGTTCCCACTAGCTATAAAAAAGACAGAAAACAATTAAGAATACACAACAAAAAGCATTCGCTCTTTCTCGCTATTCTCTACATTCCAGTGGTTCCCAACCAGTGGTCTGTTCACTATATGTGGTCCATAAGAATCAGAAAAGTGGTCAGTGGGAGTCTTTCACAGAAAACCTGAGTTGACGCAGCATGCTTGTTGAGGAACAAGCCCTGCAGGCACCACTTTAACTATAATGGCTTGATGCTATGGGATTGGGATTTGGAGTTTGGTGAGGTACCAGCACTCTTTGACAGAGAAGGCTAAAGACCTTGTAAAACTACAACTCCCAGAATCCCATAGCATTGAGTTAAGGCTGTTAAAGTGTTGTCAAACAGCACTGAATAAATAAAGAGCAATACTCAAAAAGCAGGGGAATTGGAGATAAGAATCAATCAGGGCCAGCTAACACCTCCCAACAAAAGATTTCTCCAGGCAGCAACTAGTCAGGTTTTGAAGATGCAAGGCCATTAAATGCTAATCAAGGTGGCCATTTGCAACATTCACATTTGCCTCAAGCAGAAAAGAGTTCTTTCTCCCACCCTGGACATTCCACAGATATATAAACCTCACTTGCCTAATTTCCAACAGACCCCTCAACCTCTGAAAATGCCTGCCATAGATGTGGGCAAAATTTCAGGTCAGAATGCTTCTACAACATGGCCATACCACCCGGAAATCTCACAACAACCCAGTGATTTCGGCCTTTAACAAGCTGCATTAATTCTACAGTGTACATACACCCAATAAGTAGAAGCACCTTCTTTGGAGGCTTTTAAACAGAGGTTGGATGGCCATCTGTCAGGGCTACTTTGATTGTGCTTTTCCTGCATGCCAGGGGGTTGGACTAGAAGATGGCCCATGTGTTCTCTTCCAACTTATTATTCTGTGCTTCTATATCTATTTGGATCGTTTTACATCTTACAACCCGTACTATGGATGTAAATACAGAATACAGAAATTCAAAATACAAATATTTTGATAAATTAAAATGCATAGTAACAATGATCAGGCATAATGCAAAAAACAAAACAAAACCCGTGTGTATTTGGCAGCTTTCTTTCATTTCATGGTAGAGCAGCAGATCTCTCCACTAAAATCAAGTCTGCAAGGAAGGAAGCCAGACATGGACCACAGCCATTATGTTGACCTCTTACTACTGTCCTGTCGGATGGCGATGACAAAACCAGTGAACCAATGAGAAAAAAGCCAGAGAAGGGAACCACCAATTAGGAGAGCCGGAAGGCGGGCTCAAGGGCTGAACTGTGATTCTAATAGGCTGAGAAGAAGACTCCCTTTTCTCAACCTAAAATACTAAAATCATGAAGGAGTCGCCGAAAAGCCAAATGGAGAGCGGGTGACACGGAGAAAGCTCCCCTTCGCGCTTTCTTTTACCTGTTCTCAAATACATACCAGAATTGTGGCGGTATTAAGCGTGGGCAACTTGTCAAAGGCGGCCAGGGTCGTCATAGCCACAAACGGGAAGCGCGCGCTCTCGGATTCCAAATTGCCGCCAACGTTGCGTCATGGTGACGTCACCGGGCATTCGTTGGGGGCGTGGCCCAGGCAGACGGACGGGGGCCGGCTTGACTCATAATTCAACACTCCGCGAGCCTCGTTGGCTTCTAATAGCTGTTGTTGCTCAATAGAAGCATAGAGCCTATTAAAGGCGTTAACTGCCACAGTGTGCGACGGTGGACTGTTGAGAGGGACGCATGCGCAGTTGCCTCCTTTTCAACCCCTTGCACGCGCAGTTCCCCCTCCCCCTTTTTTGTGGTGTTGTATGTAGGACGCCGTTGGGAGGAGGGAGGAGGAGTGACCGTTAGAAGAGGCACGTGCCCTGTAACGTCATTGCCTCCCGGGAAGAGGAGGGGGCGGGGCCCTTAATAAAAATCACATGATACACCGTAAATGACAGGTCGCAGGTTCGAATCCGGGAAGAGGCGGATGAGCTCCCTCTGTCAGCTCCAGCTCCTCATGCAGGGACATGAGAGAAGCCTCCCACAAGGATGATAAAAACATCAAATCGTCCGGTTGTCCCCTGGGCAACGTCCTTGCAGAGGGTTAATTCTCTCACACCAGAAACGACTTGCAGTTTCTCAAGTCGCTCCTGACATGACAAAAAACAAAACAAAAACAACAACACTGTAAATAAGGCGAGCTGTTCGCTGAGGTAATTGGCATGCCAAGGAGTGGTGAAATGCAAGAAGCATCTCTAGTTGTATTTCTTTTACAGCTGGTACCAAGGAGCCTGTGGAAGGGCTGGAAGAGCTTGAATAAGATTTGTGCGCCAGCTGCGGCTGTACCTTGGGAAGTCTGACTTGGCCATGGTGGTCTACGCTCTAGTTACATCCCGCATAAATTACTGCAACGCGCTCTACGTGGGGCTGCCTTTGAAGACAGTTCGGAAACTTCAGCTAATTCAATGGTCGGCAGCCAGACTACTAACTGGGGCGACATGCAGGGAGCATACCACCCCCCTGTTGTGCCAGCTCCAGTGGCTGCCGGTCCACCTCTGAGTCTAATTCAAAGTGTTGGTTTTGACCTATAAAGCTCTATATGGTTCTGGCCCAGCTTACTTGTCCGAACGCATCCACCCCTATGTCCCACCTCGAAACCTAAGATCATCCTGGGAGGCCCTGCTCTCGCTCCCGTCAACAGCACAAATGCGCCTGGCAGGGACGAGAGACAGGGCCTTCTCGGCGGTGGCCCCCCGCCTATGGAACACACTCCCAACTGAGGTTAGATTGGCCACATCCTGCCTAGTTTTTCAAAAGAAACTAAAGGCATGGTTTTGGGACCAGGCTTTTGGACAATCATGCAAGCAGCACTTAAAGGGAATGTGACTGGAATGACGATATGGCTGATGAGACTGTTTTACTGTTTTAACGATGACTTATGTATTGTTAATTATGCTTTTATGTGTAATTGTGGTTTTAATTTTGTAATTTTTTATGTAATGGCTTCAGAATGGGGCCCATTGTAAGCCATCCTGAGTCCCCCTTTTGGGGGTTGAGAAGGACGGGATAGAAATGCGAGAAATAAGGTGGAGCCCAAAGCGTATTAAGCAGTCGAAGGCACTTGGACTTGGATTATTACAGGATTATGCCTCATTCTGGATAGGATTGCCTCTGCAAGATCAGGATCACATCTTGAGCCCAGTACAACTGAAAGGCCAGGGTGGGCTGCCATGGCCTGGAAAGCCCAGCTTTGGTCAGCGTGCCAACTTTATCCCTTCGTTATCTCTGAATTTGGAGCCCCCGGTGGCACAGTGGGTTTAGAGGGGACGTGGTTTTAAAAGGGGACTTTTCAGAGATTTTCCCAATACCTGTATGTCATGATTTAACTTGCATACCGCTACTCCCAATTTGGCTCGGAGCGGTTTACAGAAGCAGATTAAAACATTAAAACAGATTAAATATTGGCCCGTTTCTCCAATAGGCCTATATTTACAGAAAATGCTGATTGTTTGAAAAATCAGTACTCCAGAGAAGAAGTTACTATTCAAGGATAACAGTACATCCGGACAAAACCGGCTAGCTTGTGGCTAGTTAGAATCCCCAATTTTCCCAGGCACTCTGGAGCCATGTTTGCAACAGACGGATAAGATACAGTCATGGTCAGACAACAATAGACTATAGTTGTGCCATAGTTGTGTCATTCTTAGGATCCCACGTGTGCTATAATATAAATCAAAATCATAAACAACTAATGAACAACTGTATAACTAGCTTAGACCAATGAAATGATTTGTCTTTGGGAAGCAATGAAAATGTATATTCAATTTACTACCAAAGTGATAAAAGCTCTGCAGCCCCCCCCCCTTTTTTTTTTTGTGGTCATGTCAGGAGTAACTTGAGAAACTGAAAGGCACTTCTGGTGTGAGAGAATTGGCCATCTGCAAGGATGTTGCCCAGGGGACAGCCAGATTTTTTTAATCATTTTTGGCAGTAAATTGAATACACATTCTTGTTGGTTTCCAAAGATAAATCATTTCATTGGTCTAAGCTAGCTGTACTGTTGTTCATTGGTTGTTTATGATTTTGATTGACATCATGGTGCCTTTTTACAAATCCCCACACAATAGACTATAGTTGTGCTATAGTTGTGTTATTGTTAGGGTCCCATGTGTGCTATGATGTCATAGCTTAGGTTGACTGGAAAGACGTGTTGGCAGCTGATTGGCTGGGCATGCCAGGAGCCAGAATTCCGATTGGCTACTGTCTCTAGCGAGAAACGGTTTTAACTGCCACTTTCACCTTGGAGAGTGAAGAAAGCTTTGCCAGGAACTGCCAGGAAGGAAATGGCTGCCAGTTCTCTGAAGCCTGATCATTTCTAAGGCATGAAGCATATTTTAAAGACTGTTTAAAAGGACTATTTATTCCCTCTGTTCTGTAAGAATTCAGAGAGACTGCTGTATATATTGTTACTCTGTTTGACCTTTTGAACTGAAGTAAAGTTACAGTTACTCGTTACATAAATCTGAGTGACACATTATTATACTGCAGTGTATATTTTGATTCAGAAACTGTAGTAAAGCTTCTGTTTATTTATACCTACAACCCCAAACATATTGTTCTCTGACCATGACTGTTTTAATGAATCAATCATATCTGTTAGCCTATTGCAAACATGACTGCAGAGCGACTGGGAAACTTGGGGGTTCTAACTAGCCACTACCTAGCCAGTTTTGTCTGGATATACTGTCATCCTTGAAATGAAACTTCCTTTGATGATTTGTCTGTATATAGACTTATATCTCTCTCTCGTTGTCTGAGAATGATGGCCTTCCAAGTGTAGTGTCTTGGCGGTGGATATGTAGGTGACTGGAGCCTTATTCTTGACCCACATGTTCTTTCACAGTGAGGTTTCCAGGTGGAAGGCAGTCCTGGTCAGAGTTGGCTTGACATGCCTTCCTCTTGGCATGTTTCTCCCTTTTGTCCTCCATTCGTGCCTCTTCGAATTACGCAACATTGCTGGTCACAGCTGATCTCCAGCTAGAGCACTCAAGGGCCAGGGCTTCTCAGTCCTCAGTGTCTATGCCACAGTTTTAAAGGTTAGCTTTAAGTTCATCTTTAAATCTCTTTTCCTGTCCAGCAACATTCTGTTTTCTGTTCTTGAGCTGGGAATATAATAACTGCTTTGGGAGACTGTGATCAGGCATTTGGACAACGTGGCCAATCCAGTGGACATGATGGCATAGGAGCATTGCTTCAGTGCTGGTGGTCTTTGCTTCTTTCAGCACATTGACATTTGTCCACCTGTCTTCCCAAGAGATTTGCAGGATTTTTCAGAGGCAATGCTGATGGAATCGTTCCAGGAGTTTAGTATGATGTCTTTATATAACATCCTGTTTTAATACTGAAGTGAAGAGGGAGGCAGACACAGGGGAAGAAGGAAAGGAGGACTCCTGAAGGAAGCCAAGTGCAAGGGAGGCCTCGCTGCCCTGTTCTTCTTGAGAGGAACTCAAGGCGGTTAACAGAAAACTTGACACAAGAAGGGGAGCCAAGAAGATAATTCCACCATGTCTCCTTGTGTCACCAGTTGGCAGACCCTCCCCCCAGGACCAACTGCTGCTCTGGGGCCAGAGTGAAGTAGAGGAGCCAGGAAGAGAGTTCCATTATTTCTCCTGGATCATCAGTTAGGAGTCCCTCCCCCTAGCAGCAATATAGTAATATACAATACTAATATTGTGTTGTGCTAATAAAAAAAAATATTGTATATATTATAATATTGATAATAATATAATGTAATACAATGTAATACTACTAATAATAATACAATATTATAATTATATACTTTATATTACATGTTATATTAGAGGGAACATGGTTTTAAAAAGGGAATTTTCAGAGATGTTCCCAATGCTCATATATCCTGATTTACTGCCATATTGGCCTATTTCTGCAGTATTTATTTATTTATTTATTTATTTGATGCACTTATTAACCGCCATTCTCAGCCCTTACGGGCGACTCATGGCGGTGTACAGTACACATAAAAAGACAATTACAAAAGCCAGTGTCAACAACATATAACTATACAACAAACACGAACTACATAAAAATCTGCTTCGTCTCTTAATAGAATCATAGCCAGTCTCATCTTCCTTATACCATTCCAGTTCTCATTGCCGTAATATTGTTGCTTAGCACATTAATTAAATGCCCTCTCGAACAGCCAGGTCTTAAGGCTTTTTCGAAAGGACATAAGGGAGGGCGCCTGTCTGATGTGTGCCGGGAGAGTGTTCCACAGCCGGGGGGCCACCGGAACAGTACGTCTATGTTTAAAGAAAATGCTGATTGTTTGAGAAATCAGTGCTCCAAAGAAGAAATTACTATTCAAGAATAACAGTACATCCGGACAAAACCAGCTAGCTAGTGGGTAGTTAGTACTCCCCAAGTTTCCCAGTTGCTCTGGAGCCATGTTTGCAACAGACTAACAGATAAGATTGATTCATTAAGACAGTCATGATCAGAAAACAATAGACTATAGTTGTGCTATAGTTGTGCTATTGGTAGGATCCTACGTGTGCTATAATGCCAATCAAAATCATAAGCAACTAATGAACAACTGTATAGCTAGCCTAGACCAATGAATGATTTGTCTTTGGAAACCAATGAAAATGTATATTCCATTTACTACCAAAGTGATAAAAACCCTGCATCCACATAGGGGATGGCGACAAACACTTTGATTGCATTCCTGTATGCTTGTTTGTCGTT